GGTTGCCATGTGGGGGAATGGGTGAAATAGGTGAAGGGCATAAAGAGATACAAACTTTCAATTGTTAAAATTTTCCACTGGGGTGAAAAGTCCAACATAGAGATATAGTCAATAATACTGTAATATCTTTGTATGGTGACAGTTGGTAGCTACATTTCTCATGGTGAGCATTTTGTAATGCATATAATTATGAATGACTCTGTTGTACACCTGAAATATATCAACTGCACTTCAATCAAAAAATTTAACTTATATTGCTATTGTTCTGAAGTATTATTGCTTCAGGCTATAACATTAGTAACTATCAATTATAACATTAATAAGACATCAGATAAGTGAAAACCAGGCTTATCCATGACCCATGTTTATTTAAAAATATTACTCTACAGAGTTCAATAGGTCACCGATCATTCATTTGTTCTTTTCCTTCATTCCTGAGACTAAACTAGGTCTGATATATTCAAAGGTGAGCAAAATAGGTGTAGTTCTTCTGATGAAGCTTGCAGCTTCATTCCACGATCTCTAAACATTTCTGATTACGTAGCTCCTTCAGAGGAAAAATTCAGTGCTCCTAAACATACATATTTATTTTTTTTAATATTAAATAAAAACATTCCTATATATTAGGTACATTATGAAAGAGCCACAAAAACATTTTAAAAGCTAATATTACAAACTACAAATGTAAGCCCCCGTGTTTCCTTCCCATGTCTTAGGGGTCATCTTGAACACACTCAGCATTCCACTTTGGAGAACAAGGTGATTTGCGTGATTTGTATATTGACCTCTCTCCTCCATATCACTCTTCCAAATATTTTTGAAGGTAAGTTTCAGGAAGTTTTCTACAGTTACCTAGTATGAGGTCAACAACTGGGCATACTCAAATCAAGCAGTCACAGCCCCGTGTGCTTAGAATGTATGTTTAGTGCCTAAACCGATGGCCTTCCACTGAGACTGGCCGGAGGCCCAGGGCCAAGTGCCCCTTCTCGGGCCAAGTGCTCACCCCTCCACTCCTCAGGCTGGCAGAGGCCAGAGAGGCTGCCAAAGCTGGAAACAAGAATTGCTTTATAAATCGGACACCGTGTTTGTCCTAATGTTTTCTTTATTGTCATAGACTGTTATGATAGACTCGGTAAATTGCAGTTGGTAGGACTCGATCACCAAGAGGCTTTCAGAGTTCTGTGCTAAAGGGGAAAAAAAGCCAAGAAAACCAGCCACAAACAAAAAAGGGGGAAAAAACAGCATTACTTGTCTGACCAAAGACAGGCTGGGTAAACACTACTTTTTACACACATATAATGTAATATTGTGCTTATGTCTAGCATTTGTTACCACTGGGTGGGTTGATCTTCAATAATGATTGCAGCCACACATGTAATTTTGTTTTATGGGTTCACTTAATATCTATATTAGAACTTAAACTAAGATACACACCTACTTATGAATGTCTGATACATTCATCCTATTTTCAGAATTGGCAAAGAGAAATGAGAAATTTGATTATTTTGGCAAGATATGCAGAATGTCACATTAAGCAATGCTCATCATCGAAGGATAACACACTTGGCAAGTCATTATTTGGCAAGGGTAAGAGAAGAATAAATCTTTGGGTATAGGCGAAGTTTTGGAGAAGTGCCTGGCATGGTATGTGCACTTAATAAGCATTGCTTGATTCTAATGATAAGCTAAGAATAACACTTGTCTCCTTCCTCTTGTCTGGGGGAAGAAATGGCATCTTCTACCTCCAAATACCCTTTGGTATATTATGACAGCTCCTTATTCTTTAAAAGCATACCCATGAATAAAATTCTATAGCACAACAAAAACAAATATGAAATTAATGAAATAAAGTTCTACTTGTCCTGTGAGTTATACTAATCTATTATTATAATTAAAACTGCATGCCTTAATAAAAGCAGTTGATTATTCTTATCTGACCACCAATCTTTTTCCTCCGTCTTGCCAGATACTGAATCTCTCATAATTAGTGTCACTCACTAGGAATGAGGTACCACGTCTCATTCCAGGCTCCTAAATCAGTGAAAATTCTGCCATTATTGTTCATCAACATCTTTAAGTACAAATCGGTTTATCATACTATCAAGGCAGTCACTTAGAAAGCTCAAAGGAAATGGAACAATGAACAGGTAAATTCTGATATATCAGGTAGGGGCAGAAAAGTTCACTGAAGCAACAGAAGGTGCCAGGGAGCAGTGACTGGTCACCAAGGACTCTCTTCACTGGGATTTATTTTCACTTAGGGCATGGGATAACGCTATCACTCTTTAAAAATAGTAAACAAACTGTCCCAGTGCCATTTTTGAATAATTCAAACTATGTTCATTTAAAAAATGATTTTATATTATATTAAATCATATATACACAACATTTACACACATACAATAAGATCTACTCTAAGATGTTTGGTCTCTTTCATGAATTATGACTTTGCATAATTATGTCTTTATACTATCCAATTCTATTTTAAACACCTCTGTAGAGTTTCTGGTTTTATTTCCATAAGCTTTGTACATTTCTTGTTAGGTTTATTTTTAGAACTTTTTAAAAATTATGGACTCTTTCATTTGTGTTTCCTAATTATTGTTTGAAATGGGAACAGCTAGTGATTATTACCTTTTAACTTTTACAAACTGATGTTTTGCTTGCAACCTTTCCATTCTTCTGAACATTCCCAAGTATGTAATCATATCACATGCAGATTCTGCCTTCTCCTCTTTTATATATGCATATATTTTTTTCTCTTCACTTTCTCCTCTTTTACATATATATATAATTTTTCTTCTTCATTCTTTTGTGTAATTACATTAGCTAGCACATTCTAAGCAATGTTAAATAATGGGGACACTGGGCTTTTTTGTTGTATTAACTGACTTTAAGAGAAATGCTCTTATTTTTCATCATTAGCTAACTTTTAGTTGGGGCTAACTTTTAGTTTACTTAGGATAACATCAAGAATTCATCTACTTGTTTTCTAATGGATTTTAAACATCAGAAATACATGAAAAGTCATTGCTCAGTGTCTGTGAGATGATGTTTTCCTCCTCTCAGCTGTTAAGATGAATCAATCTTGCATGCTGATAAATAAACGTTAATGGTATCTGTTCTTAACATTCTTTATTTTCAGAACTATCTTGGCTGATCTTGCATAAGTACTCTTCCAGAAGAAACCCAAAGGATGATTTTTCAAAAACCAGGACACTGATGACATTGAAAGTTTATCTCTTCCTTGTAAGGAGATATAATATGGGTCAATTTAAACAGAACACTAGGAAACAACCATCTACCTGAACAGAGTTGCCTCAGTTAGTTTCAGTTTTGACCTAGTAGATCTCCTGTAGTACATATAAATCATTGTTTATAAATAGATTATTCAGTATTTGGTAGATGAGATAAAAAGCAGACTAATGAAAATGAAACAAAACAGAACAATAAAAATGAACAGACTGGAGGAACTGCTGTTGCTGTAGTTCAAAAGTTACAATATAAAAAGATAGAATTTAAACCCATATGCATCTACTACATAAAGCTAAGCACCTATACACTAATTATAATGAAAATGTAATTTTTATAAGCAATATGCTTTCATAGATATTAAAGCAATATGCACTTTATTGATTCTATGACGTTTTTTACATATGCATCTACTACATAAAGCTAAGCACCTATACACTAATTATAATGAAAATGTAATTTTTATAAGCAATATGCTTTCATAGATATTAAAGCAATATGCACTTTATTGATTCTATGACGTTTTTTACATTTCAGTAACTCTGAAATTAAGATGCAACTGAAATCTATAAGCATACTTATTTTTTAATCAAGTTTCCTTTCTTTGTGAAATAATGAAATAATGATTTCATGAAGTAATGATTACATGAAATAATGATGTAAGTTGAAAATTGGTTCTCTTACATGTGATCAAAATTATCTTAGAATTTGCTAAAAATGCAGCAATTACCAACTGTAAGGGTTATACACACAGCTTCATCTCTCTACCTCTACCTGCAACACATTTTCTCTTTTTAAAAATGCTATTCTTGAACGTGGATTTTTAAAATAAAAACTAAATTAAAATTTGCTTTAGATTTAAAGAGTTTGAGGACTTTAGGATTTACTCTCAGACGAGCAGAGGAGACGCAGGGAGCTACCAACGAGCAGCTGGGCTGTGTTGGGAGGATGCAAGGAGGCATGCAGAGTCCCACCCGCGAAGTATGGGCAGGCGTGTCTGCCCTGCAGCCCCGGGATTCACCCAGTTTGGGTGGGTCAACAAGTCAAATAATTCCAGGGCTGTAGGACCCTCAAGTGACTTATCCAGGAAAGAAGAGAAGGAAGTTACTGTAGGGTTCCTCAGTGGGAGCTGTGGATGGAAGCAGCGTCATGGGGTCTTCTCTGGCCCCATCTCTATCTCTCCCTTCTCACCCAGCTCTCCCAGAAAAGGAGAAAATGAGCACAGAATTTCCATCTCCACCACCACATCACTTTCTGCTCTGCTTGCTTACCTCCTCCCCGCAGATGACAACAATGGACCAGCTACAAATATTCTCAACAGAGCCCTGGACCAGCTGATGTGTAAAGGGGATTCTGCCATAACAAACCAAACATACAGCTAGCAGAGAGTCCTGGGAACCGAGGAAGTGGTTCATGGAACAGGGAATTCAGACTATCAAACTGACCCACTGACTACCACAATCTCTGTCCCCCTTCCAAATGTGAATTTAAATCCCTCCTCTTAACAAAAAAGGAAATAAAAAGAAAGGAAGGAAAATAATATTTGCATGAACATCTATGTCTCTGTCACCACAATTAGCCACTATCAACTTCAAAAGAATTCTGCTAATCTCTTTAAAAATTATCTTAGCTGTTTTACAAATTATTAAAATCAAAAGAGCAAAGTCAACAGCACTTAGCCAGTATTAATTCTCAGTATCAGTAGAATCATCAAGGGCCCTTGGCCTATAACCTCAGTGTGGACTCACCTTTTGCACAGCTGCATGAAAGCCCTGTTTAATTCTCTTACATGAATCAGGTATTAATCTTGTGTCTTGACTCTCCAGAGCTGTGTCTTGCAAATCTGAGTTTTCATGGAGTTTGAAAATTCTGTTTATGCACTGAGTGTCGTCTTCTGATATTCTGTTAGGATCCATCTGAAAAAAAAAAAAAAGTAAGGATGTTGGAGAGGTTTTCACTGATCACTCTGCTATTTAATAAAGTGAAGTAAGAACAAAAAAATTCATTCTTGCAAGAGTTTTTAATGTCCCCAATAATTAATAGTTAACACAATTACCCCTCAAGTTAGCAAAAATATTGACTTCTAATTCATTTTTATGAGGAGCAAACAATCATCCAGAACACAAGCGTACATATGTGATTTGTGGGGCAATTATTAAAATAGTCTGACAACGTGGAGGTTCTCACAGAGGGAAGGGCCATCAAGGAAATCACGTGAGGTCTGTGCAGGTAGAGAACCTTTTGTCTCTAAGTCAAATGCAGCATGCTGGATAGGATTATGAAGCCCACTTAGATATCAGAAACAAGAAGCCTACTAAACCAGGTGAAATCAGCATCATCTTTAGCCACCATGTTGGCTCGCCTTTTACCTTAACCTGTGTATATTTTAATCAGCCAAAAAAGGGAGGAGGAAACCCACTTCCTAGTCCCAAACCAGGGGCATAATTTCCCTTTTAGTTGAATCTCTTGTCAATATTTCTGAACGTACAGTGGTGCGTCTGTCAAGGGTTGCATGGGAACGTGTGCGGGTTAGATTTAGTGTCACAGGACTGAGGAGGACCATGGGGTGAGCAACCTATATGGTGCATGCTGCGAACAGGTTAAAACTCTATAATGTAAGGGGCTGTGCCACCTGAAATATCCCCATTGAGTTATTAGCCAGTTGCCTGGTGAAATAAAATAGGTGCCTGCATAAGCAATTTTTAAAGGATTACTCTTTTCTTGAAATTGTCTGCCTACTCTTCCTGGGGATCTGACAAATCTTTATGGTGATCTCAACTGCTAAGTAAAGGGTAGAGATAATTAGCTATCAATTGTTTTAATAATAATAGTTTATTATCCTCTTCTTTCAAAACTTCAAGGTACTTTATGTGCATTTGCTCATTAGTAGGTATAGACTAGATGAGAAAAGGAAAAATTACTTAAGTTTACAATAACCAAAGCTCAATTAACACCAAATTGCACATTTCCTGGCTTACTTATCTTTTTAAAAGTAATCGCAAAGATGTGCAGGTTTAATAACCAGCTATCAGAAATAAACTAAAAAGTACCCTACCCATGCCTGAGATTCTCAAAATGAAATGATAGCCTTTCAACAACTGTGCACCCACTAATACAAATTTTATTATTCCAGTTTTGCAAACAGGAAGATTAACTCTAATCATTGGAGAAGTACCACTCATTAAGCAAGACAGTTTGCAATCCATATTTACTTTTCAAATTTTCTTTAAATAATTACTACATATCAGAATATGTGTGTTTTTATGTAAAGAAAGCTTTCAATCGCATTAAAAAGAAAAACTCACTTAGGCCACTGTTTCCCACAAAGCCAGAGAAGCCTGAAAAACTGAAACGAAGGGTCATGGGGTTCAGGCCTCAAGAAAGAAAACTCATACAAAGGCCTCAGTTGGCTCACCACCAGAAAAACTGCTGAGTTAAAGGAACTATGTGGTGTTAGTGGGGAAATGCCTGGGGACCCTAAAATTGGTTACCCTCTGGTCCTGCTGACAAAGGAAGTGCCACCAAACTAAAGCAGCAGTCCCCATTCCTCTCACTACCAAAAGTACCCCCCAACCACCTGCAGGCTGGCTGCTGGGCTCCCTGGGCACTTGTTAGAAATGCAGAATCTCAGCCCCTCCCACCCCCACCCCACCCTCCACCTGCAGAATCTCAGTGCTGGGGCACTGCCATGGAATCTGCATTCTAACTAGACCCCAGGTGACTGCACATTAAAGTTTGAGAAGTAGTGCTTTCAAATAGCCAGAGTACAAAGACAGATTTTCTGCTTTCAAAATGTCTTCAAATGTCCTTGGACACCAAGGAAAAAATCTTTATAAATTTTTTCACAATACCACTTAGTACAAAAATACCAGGATAGTAATAACAGTTAATGATTTGATGCAAAAAAAGTATAATGTAAAGATTTTCTCCCTTCTCTCTTAAAAGATCTCCATGCCCAGATGCCACTCCCAGCCAATTTAATCAACATCCCTAAGGCTAGGGGCCATTTGAATCTCTCCTCAAGTGCTTCAAATATGCAGTTGAGAACCACTTCTGTGGAAGCAAATGTTAAAGCTAAAAGACAGATAAAATGCAACCAATTGATTTTCCCAAAAGAAATCATGAAAGCATGGCATAATTAATTTTGATATACTCATTTATTTTGTTTAATTAAGGATCATACATTAGATCCATTTCTTTTTAACCTACAACCAAATGTCTTTCTCATTCCAGTGCTCTTGCAGCTCAGCAATGCTTTCACAGAAATGGAAACCAGAGGGAAAGGGAAATGAAAAGGTTCAGGGGTGCAGGGCCAACCACACACACACAGGTAAATGAGGGCCTCTGCTCCTGGGGTCTCTATGCTGGAGGGACAGCAGGGCAAGGAGTGGGATCGGTCCTAGACTCTCCACAATGCTCAGCCAGTGGTCAAAACATCGCATCTCCTCCCCCACTCCATTATCTACTGGCACAGCACTCTGGATAGCAAATTTATTTGCATGACTGAAAAATGCTGTGTTTTAGCCCATTTTAGCTACTAATTAGATAATTTCCATATTACGAATTTAAAAAGGATATATTTTCTAGTGTTGCAAATCATTTTAAAGGCTTTTTCAGTAAACTAACCATGCCAGGCATCAGTCTAGATGCGGCAAATAAGGTAGTGAGCAAAACAGGCTGCCTTTACCTTCATCAACTTACACTTGACAGAGGAACACAGAAATTCGTCAAAAATCACAGTAAACGGAGCAAAAAATGAATTCACTGTCCCAGAAATGTCTGAAAACATTAAGTAAATCTTGAATACCTAGTTTTGAATGGACTTTCAAATGAATTTATCAAATGCATTTATCCATGTGAAACAAACTCAGTCTTTTTTTAAAAACATCCTTAAAATTTAATCATTTGTAGGGTTAAATGAGGCAGGATGCTTGACATTTGTGCTACTTTGTTATCTGTTTTTTCAAACAGGCAACCCGCGTACATCTACATCAGATTTTCAGTAGTGGCTGCCCTCCTGTTTGAGTAACAAAGAGCTAGAGAAGTCGGTTTGCACACGGAGGATGGGAGGAAGACGTTAAAAGTGAAACACAGATTGAGTTTTCTGAAAAGCTTATCTCGTCGCTATACTCTGAATATGGTTACAGATGTTGAAAAAAAATGCACATAAATCTTGCAAGCAACTTTTTGGAAGGTCTTTTTTTTTTCTTTGTAAACCAAAGTAAGAATACTATGTGTTAAATATACAGCACAAACCACACACTATTTTTTCTTTGGCAAGGTTGGTGGGGTAAAAGCCAATCTACACTGGATCTAGTACTTTTTTTTTTAATCTAAGCATAGGCAATCTGCAAACATTCAGGAAGCTGATTCATTTCTAACTATTCAAATATGAGTTGAAAAAGGGAAAAATGTCATTGTATTTTTACTCTTTCTGAGCTTCTAAATGCAGTTAAAACTAAATTGAACTGTTTTTTCTTAAGGTTTTTTAGCTACCCCCCAACCCCTTAAAAATAATAAAACTGCCTACTTATTCTCATTCTTTTTCCTGTAAAGTACAAACATGTTACCTGATACTAGATAATTTCATTCTAATTTAAATGCATTGAGAAACCCCAAATAGCTGATGCACAACTTTAGTGGAAATCAAAAAACTATCTCTTCTCTGGTATCAAGTTCTAATCCAAAGGAGCTGATATATGTAAAAAGGTTTAATCAGTGACAGGTTAAATTAAATCTATTCTGTTAGCTAAAAGTTTGAAAGAAGGCCTCAGATATATATAGAAGTGGAAAGAATTATAGAGTGAACCCCTATGAACCCATCACCAAGCTTCAGCAATTACCAACGCATGGCCAATCTTATTTAATCTATAGGCAGTCACTTCCCTACCTTCCATTCTCCCACTTATCATTTTAAACAAATTCCAAACATTATAGCCTTTCATTTGTAATGACTTCAGAATGTATATCTGAAAACACTGAGGAATGTATCCCCAAACGATTAGGACCCTTTTAGGTATCAACTATAGATACCACACCCAGTAAAATGCAACCACAGCTAGTGGTGTATTCCTACGAACACATGGCTCCTGATACTACTACTTTTTTACTTTAGGAGATGACCTTTTAAAAATGTTATTACAAAATGGAATTCAGAGTAATGGCTAATAGATTTTGCAGAAGTCTTATAAAAACCGAACCTTTACAGAATTTAGGAAAATTGTACCCAGAAATGTGATGACATTAAATTCCCCAAATGAAAATTTTCTACCTAAGCTCACAAACTTACATGTTTAGTTTGGAAAAGGATTTTGAGAATTTCACTATTATCTATGTGAATCAAGACTATGTTATGATAAATGATCATCAGAAGGCTAGACCCTTCAGCCTGCCAGACCATTAATACTGAGAATTCCTAAGGAGAAGCTGAACAACTATTAAAAGAGCCAGGCAGGTCACTCCATCCTACATGGTCACACTGATTCCTATGGTTCTTGCCAATCTAAGCCACTCATGGTCCCTAGAACTTATTCATTCCCTATGCCTCTTGTAGTGGTGAACACTCACTTCACTATTACTGCTATGAAAATGCCATATCCCTAAGGTGTTAGAAAAGGTAAAAGAGAACTACTGCATCTTCTGTCCCCTTTCTGACTTCTGTTCTTTTGTTTGAATAAGAATTTTAAGTCTTTTATTGTATATCCATCTGTTACCTGACACCATGCCATACAGGAAGTAGGTGGGTAATGTATCCTGAATAAATGACTCATTCATATTCCATAGCATTTAATAGTGCATGTGCAATGCAGGCCCTCAAATACACAAGCATTAAATGGGAAAAATCAACATGCTCCATGGAAAAATGGCTAAACAGCTCATTCTTGACTGCAGTGTACTCCAATGAAAGAAAAATGTTTTATTGCTTTAATATAGATTTATGTAATCTATGTTGCAAGGAAATCTTTTAAAAGTTTTCTTAGAAAAAAAATCTCTTAAGAGATTATTTATATTAATATACAAATACACAGTTTCTAAACTATTGCTCTTATTTCCACCTAGTTCTATAAAGCGCAAACTCCTGTTTTATGAATATTTAACAAAAAGTCATGATTTCAGGCAGTGTAGTTCAAGATTCTGGCACGTGTCAAAACCATAAAATCCAAGCAATGCCATGTTTCGGTGCGCCCAGTTTGGTTTAGTAAATCACCTTTGAATCAGAAAACCAATTTAGTCCAAACCCAACTCTCTTTTCCCATAAAAAAAAAAAAAATTTGCACAGTCAGCCCCCCACTTCCTCTGAGAAAGAGTTCACAGAACCAGCCAGACAAGAGTATTTGAATGCATCCCACCAACTGCACTGCAATTTCCAAGAAAACACAGAGTATAAACCACCAGAAGGCATAATGTTACAATTTTACCCCTTTCTTTCTTCTATCTCTCTGCAGTTCGGGGCCGGCTTGCTCATCTTTTAAAAGGTTGGTTATTTGTTCGGTTGTGGCGAGAACCCCGCCACGGTCACACACACCTTGCTTTCCCCGCGCACCTCAGTGGGAAGGCACGTGGGTCTGTGTTTCTTCTTCCCCGCCTCGCGAGCAGGGCCCCTGTCCCCGCCAGGCTTCTCTGGCTACACTGCCTGTCGGCCCATCCAGCGACTTGGGCATCCTAAGCCGGTGCTCCAGCGGCCGCCAGCAGCCCCAAGGCCCGCAGCCCGCCGGCCAGCAGCCAGCTCCGGGGGCCGGGCTCCTCCACCGGGGGCTGGGCGGGCAGAGGAGGGTCGATGCCTACGTGAAGGAGCTCAGTTCTTTTCCTAAGTGGACCGAAGTTCATTCTTAGCTCCAAGTGGGGCACGGAGCGGGGCTAGGAGAGGTGTGCAATCATTACCAGAAAAGGTGAGCGGCCGATGCCGCCCCGTCGGGGGAGAATCAGCCGCACCAGGACCAGCGCGCCCAGCCTGAGCGCTGCGAAGCCTGGTGAGTGCGCGGGGCCCACCGACGAGCGCGCCCGGCCCCGCGCTGGGCTGTCCACGAACGCGACGCTTCCTCTTCAGAGTCCCTCTTCTCCTCCCGAGTGTGCAACATCTGGGGAGCGCAGCCCGGCGGCCAGATTCGGCGTCCCACCAGTGCCGGTGGGAGCAGGGGGGCGCCCGGCCGCGGCCCCTGGAAGCGAGCACTCACCTGCGCTCTGAAGTAGAGGAAGAGGGCGACGCTGCAGACCACCTGGCCCAGCCCCAGCCCCAGGAGGGCTACGAACGTGGAGCGGGAGGCTGCGGCGGCCGGGGGCGGCGCGGACGGCGCGGACGGCGCGGACGGCGGCGGGGCGTGCAGGGGCCCCTCGTGCGGGGCTCCGGAGCCGCCGCCGCCCATCTCCTCGGAGCCGCGCAGGTACTTGGTGTAGTCTCGGCTGGCGCGGCGCATGGCGCTCGGCCCGCTCAGGCGCTGGCCTCCCTCTCGCTCCCTCCCTTGCCCCTCTGCCCGCGGCCAACTCCTGCGGCAGCGCGCGGCCGGCGCGGGGCCAGGCGGGCCTCGACGTGGGGCGCTCAGAGCCGGGCGCTGCTCCCGGGGCGCGCGGGCGGGCAGGGCGCCCGGCAGCCCCAACTCTTATAAACCGCTCCACGAGGGCTAGCCTCGGGAGCCAATCAGCCCTGAGCGAGGCCGCCTCCTCCACTCCCACCTCTGGCTCCCCTTCCTGCCTTTCGCCCCCCGCCCCCTTCTTACTCTCACTGAACGGCCTCCTCCGTAAAGGGCCCCCAGAGCAGTAGGCTGTGAGTTGTCCCAGCGGCTCTAGACCCACTTGCCCATGCTCAGCTGCCTTTATGAAAGCCCAAGAGGTGGGCTGCGGACCTTCAGCTGAGTTGCCTGGGTTCAGGGTAAAGGTGACGTCACAGACATCACTCAGCATCCCGAGCCTCGGTTTCCCCTATAGGACTTGGTGATCTCTAAAGGCTCATCCTATCTCCTTCTCTTCCTCGATTCTCCCACCCCTCAGCAAAAAAAAAAATAATTCAGCAAGGAACATCCTACCCTGAGAGTTCCTCAGAGTGGAGCATCTACCGTGGTTCCAAATATAGGTTCCAAATTAAATATTTTGGCAACTTTGAAAACCAGAAACCCCTTCCCAAGTCCATTTCTGTATCCTCAAAGTGACTGAGTGAGGCAGGTTTTGGATGTGGCTGCAAAGAGCCCATACACACCAACTCCAACTCAAAACACATAATGGTACAGAGAGTGGGGTGACGGAGCTGCATATATAGAAGCATATTTTGCCTTCCTACTGAGTTCCTCATGTGACGCCCTTCTGTTGGCAGTTATTTTCCTCAGTACGCTCAGGATACCATCTCACTGTATTCCTGCCTCCGTGAGGATGGATCTGCAACTCCTCCGTCAGTCCACTGCTGCTCCTTCAAAGGTAATGAACCTTCCTGGCCTTTTTATTTACTTACTTACTCCTCAGTATTCCACTCCCCAATTAATATATAAACCCCATACCTATTTGGTCAATGACTTTCTAAATTTTATTTTCTATCAAATTGCATTGAAACCCACTGCCAAAGACATTGAATCTCTCTTATTTGTTCATTAAATAAACATTTTTAAAAGCCTGAGAAACCCAGTTCCTTCCCTCATTGACTCATCATCATTTAATAGGTAAAGCTATTTAAGACAAATTAAATATGGTTCTCTAAGTGTTGTTTTACAAGTAATGCTACAAGTAATCAAGGAAGACTCTGACTAACTGTGACTAAATGCAAGTCCAGAGGTTTTCACAGAAATAACATTTAGTCTGGGTTTTCAGAGGTATATAGGAATCTGTGGGATCAAGAACAAGGAAGTTGACATTTCTGGAAGTACAGGCAAAGGTATGGAGGCTCAGAAGAGTGTGGCGTATTTGGGAAAAAGACACTGAGTGCAGATAAAGCACAAGAGGCCCCAGCAGGGCAAGCGACCTGATATGGTAGGTTGGGACCAGATCATGGTTGGCCTTCTGAACCACGTTGAGATTATCAGGTGTCCAATGACAATGTTTAAGCTCAAGAGCAACACAACCAGATGACTGTTTTTAGAAAGTTTATTCTGACGTAACAGAGGATGGTGGGATGTAAGAGGGAGAAAGGGGAAATAGGAAGGCCAGGTGGGTGGCAGCTGGCAATTGTCTGAGCTGAAGTGACCGATGCATGAATTAAGGCAGACAAGGTCAAAATGGAGAAAGGGTGACTGATCACAGATATTTAGAAGGCAGGGGCGACTATTCAATGGGGGGTGAAAAAGGGAGAGGAGTCTAGGGTGACTCAGGTTTCTAGTTGAATGACGGAGGAGTGGAGCTGTCTTAAAGAGAGGACACAGAGACAAAACAGGTGAGGTGGATTGGTGCAAAGAACAATGAGGTTTATGTTGAACATAATGAATTTGAAGTGCCTGACTCTCCTCAACTCAGTTTATTTCATAAGCACTGTTTTTGCTTTCAGAGATTAAGTATTTGGACTGGATTACTAGGATTATTCTGTCAATCAGGTTTTACTAGAAATCCCCAAAGTAGTTTCCCATGTCTTGTCGGTATATTTTTCTCTGAATATACATAGGAAAAACTTGGTTATTTTAGATCTAGTCTTTACTGAAATGACAGTATTCCCAGACCTCACTCTCTTCTAATTTCTAAAGATGAGAATTCACATTAGCTGTCAGTATTTCCATAATACATTTGCCCTTATGGTTCATGTCTCTACAAGGAAGGCTTCTGTGAGATGCTTCCAGTTACGATCCTTGATCTCCATGTTTAACGTTCTCAACATGGAGTTTTCTTTGCAACATTGAGCTCTTTGGTTAGTTATAACATTATGTGAAAGTGTGATGCCCAGACCTTAGAATTCCATGAAAACCAAAAGCCTGCTAGATGTCCTCAAATCTCAGAGGCCAGGTGATGTGTTTGCTGCCTCCAGTTACCTCCAGTGAGTATCACACCATTAGAATTTTATAATGAGCTTTGTGTTTGTTTATTTTCTCAAGGCTGTCGCAGCAATTTCTGGCTAGAAAAAGAGAAAGGGAAAAAAAGTGATTTTCCAATCTCTAATAAATAGGGGAAGACATGGTATGATACATGCTTTTTTGTATAAAATAGTGTATAGATGCTGATCATTATAATAACAGGGATGGTCTAAGTCAAGAATCTTGATTTTATTATTCTCCATTTGCCCAACTTCCCTGTCCTTCTGAGGTTCATTCTCTGCCCCACGTCGTGTCCAGGAGGCTGACCTCTGCGGCCTGCTTCACCTGGGCTCCCTTGTCCTGTGGCTACTTTGAGCTCAGCCAACGGGAGGCACTGGCAGTGCTCTGGAAGGCAAGAGAGAGAAAGAAGGGCCTTGATTCTCCTCCAGTACCCCAATCATATTCTCATGGAGATTCTGGTCATGGTTGTTCCATGTGGCTATAGCTCCTATGGCCTTCCCTCTCCACAGCGCCAGTGCTTTCTAAACAACAGTAACACCTTCCTCTCTCTTTGTCCCTTCAGGCCAAAGGGTGTGTATTAATTTCTTACTGCAGCTGTAACAAATTACTACAAATTTAGTGGCTTAAAACATCACAAAATTATTATCTTACAGTTCTGGAGGTCAGAAGTCTAACATGTCTGCAGGGCTACATTCTTTCTGGGGTCTCTAGAAAAGATTCAGTTGGTCTTTTCCAGCTTCTAGAGGCTGCTTAAATTCCTTGGCTTGCAGCCTTTTTCCTCTATCTTCAAAGCTTGTCATTCCAATCCCTGACCTCTGTCTTTGCAGGCACAGCCTATCTCTGACTCTGCCACTCTTCTGCAAGGACCCTTGTGATTACATGTGGCCCGCCCAGATAATCCAGGATAATGTCCCTTTTCAAGATCCTTAACTTAATCATAACTACAAAGTTCCTTTCACTACTTAAAGTGATACATTCACAGGTTCTGGGGATTAGGATGTGGACATATTTGGGGGCCAGTATTCAGCCTCCTACAGTGGGAAAGGCATCCTCCTTTTCCTGGTCCTTGGATTTTCCACCATCTCTTGTTAAATTGCTTAACCCTGTCCACACCTCTTAAAATTAAAGTCGCTTCAGTAAATCCCTTAGGTTTGTCATCTGTTTGCAGCCAGGACCCTGCATGACATACTTGCTAAATTTGAAGGCAATTGCAACTAATTTATAAGCATGGGAATTATAAAATATATCTGCATCCCTTTATGCTAGTAGCATTTTTAAAATGAATATCACTGTGATAAGAAATAAGAACATGAAAATAGCTTCCCCTGGAGATGGGGTCAGCCTGAACGACCTTCAAAAGCTGGTGTCATGTGTCATTTGCACTGACCAGTTCTCCTTCTGTCTCTTTTCTTACTCCTCTGAGTGTCCGTGAGTTGTCTGGTCTCAGGTTGAGGCTGCTTTTGCTCACGGAGGGCCCATTGAAATCTCCTACCTGCATCTGGCTTCCCTAAAAATCTAACCTCCATTTCTAGAACCCTTTACAAGCAACCTGTTCTTATCACATTCCCCCGAGCTAACAAATTAACTAATAAGCTATAACAAATTAACATTGACTTGAATCAATAGACAGTTGAATTAAGCTTTTAGGTGATCAGTTATCATAAAATACACTGTTTTATCCCTAAAGCAGTGCTTTCCTAATGGTAATTTATGACACTCCAGGGAACCTGGATAGGAGGTGGAAGTGGAAAGACTGTGTTGGTCACGTAGAAAGGAAGTGCACCTGCCCACGGCTTGGTTTCTCTTCTGAGCACGATGTTGAAAATATTCATAGTAACTTTACCACCAGCTTCCTGGGAAACAGCTGTTTGATAGGTTTTTGTTATTAGTATTATCGAAGACTTATCCTTAAAATAAAATTATCTGAAGTATTATACCTTTTAAATAGATTTTGGAAAATACAGATTTTAATCAGAAATTGTAGCTGTTTCTGAAAACATAATCAAGTGGTATTAATGCTATTAAGAAGTATTACTGCATTTATCTTCCAAATGTTCCCTAAACCTTTTCCCCCTTTGGTTTGCTTCAGAAACCAATGCTTATTATTTCTTCTTTCATTTTCTTTCTTTCCCTTTGAAATTCCTATTTTCACCATAATAGGTATCCCAGGTGTGTCTCTTATTATTTTTATTGTTTAACTTACAACTTCCTTTTATTTTATTTTTTGATTCTCCTCATGAATATGTTCCTTTATTTCATCTTTTGTAATATCTTCTTATATCTCCTTGAGAATTCTCCTTACAATCATTTTGAAATTCACCTCTGCTTCTTAACTAAATCTCCTCTGCAAACCAACTGTACTGATTTTGTTTGCTTGGTGGCCAGAGTTCTTCTTTGAAGCCTGAGATCCTTTAAATTATATTGACCTTTCTTTTCCTACCAAAGTCCATGAGTGTGAGTCCCCACAGCCACTGTGTGATGTCAAATTACTGGAGGTATCCTGAGCAATGGTAGACACATGGGAAGTGAGGGATAAGGGAGATGCTTCCTCACCAGTAGACTGGCTTAAGGAAGGCCAATGGGATTCTCTCAGGAGGGGAAACTTCAAATAGTCCCA